TAGAATTATGTTATCAAAACATATGCGCCACCCCACGGAAAAACAAGCAATTATGTCTGTCCCCCTAACTAGACATATCCATATGAGTCACGTGCGTCGTAATGCCATAAACATGTTAAGATCAAGATTAAGACATGTTACAGCTGTTCAAAGGTTGAAAAACCCTATCCAAAAAATTAATAGGGAGCAAATGTTTACTTTGCAGTCTTGCTTTACCCACTTTCTGCAAGTAGTTTCTCCCTATACCGAGTTTTTGAATGGGATTTTTTGTCCTTTGAACTTTTGTGCTTTTTAAATGAAATGGTTGTGGCACCTAATTTGCTGTGTTTAAACATAATTTTTGATGTTCTGTTGAGTATTATTGGTCTCATAATTTTCAATTTTGGAAGAGTCTATTGCATTTTTTTATTTTTTACACAATTTAAGAATGTGAATAGAATATTTGACTTCTAAATCTTTTAAATTTAGAATGTATGTTTTAAAAAATAATCTGTTGCTTAAAATTATATTCTGTTTCATTGTTCTTATTTTTGTTTGTTTGAAGATTAGTTTCTCATAGTTCTTCAAATAAACATATGAATTTTTAATCCTGTTAAATATGTTAAGAAAAATTAAATTAAATGATTTTTAATAGCATTAAGTTTCATGCCTTAAAATAAGTAACATATTTTTTTTTTTTTCAGTAAGTCATCATTAAATAAAATAAGTTGCTGTCTTTAATATGAAGTTGAAAAAGACTTTGACAAAAAATGTTTGTGTTTCTTCAACTCGAACTCTTCGTTCTAGCACTTTGGCAAAGCGACTTTCACTTGATTCTTCTGAAATTGAGGATATACAGAATTTGAGTAACAATTCAAAATCTAAAAATAAAATAAATTCAAAAGTGACAAAAAGAAAGAAAATTAATGGTTCAAAATTGCAACGTAAGGGAAAAGTTAAATTGAAACAGTGCAAAAAAGTGACAAATATAAAACCAATAGAAAATATTAAACTAGCACCAATATTTGTGAAACCAGTTCCAGCTATCAAAGTAAATAAAACTATTGAGTTAATTGAATTATCACCACCACCAGTTACTCCCACTAGTGAAACATTTAATCATTTAATAGGATGTCACATTCAACAACTACCTGATGATTTCTCCAAAATTGAAAATTTTCATAGTAAATTTAATTTTTTGTTTAATGAAGATTATAAAAGTACTTCATCTTTAAATTGGACTGGACTTCTTGGTATTACAGATAATATAGAAAAAGAAATTTACAGTAATGTCAAAAATACTTCAGAAGATTTTGTTATAGACTTGAGTGATACAGAGGATTTTATTACAAATCAAAATATTTCTTCTTATAAAAGGAAGAAAAAACAACATTGTGAAAATGATAATGACATTCAAAAAGTGCATAGAAAGAAGAAAGCAAAATCTCTCAGTGTAAGTGTTAAAGATTGTGCAGCAAATGATAATAACATTGAAGATGAAAGATACAAGCTTTGGGTTGAGAAACATAAACCAGAAACATCTGAAAATGTTATAGATAATAGTAAAGCAATTCAAAATCTTAAAGTATGGCTGAATTATTGGAAAAATAAAAATCTTGAATCTGTCATTGAAGAAACTTCTAGTAAAAATCATAAAAATATTGATTTCGATTATGAACTTTCTAATGATTCAGAAATTGAAATATCTAATTGCACCATCATATATGGTCCATCAGGTTCAGGTAAAACAAATTTAGTATATTGTTTGGCTCAAGAACTTGGATTTAAAGTACTTGAAGTAAACGCTTCTTCTTCTCGCAATGGTCGTCAGATAACCGCTCAACTAAGAGAAGCAACACAGTCACATCATGTTGAAGGTGAAACATTAAGTTTAGATAAATTATTAAAGCTACAGGCTGAAAAGCTGAAAGCTATTAAACCTTCACAATCAAAATTGAAAAAGAAAAAAACAAATACAATTAAAGATTTCTGGAATGGTTCATTGAGTCCTGAAGATTTTAAATTTGGTAAAGTTGCAAAATCATCTAATAAAAAAAGTAAGTCATATAAAAATACAAAATCACAAAATAATAATAATTTAAAAAAATTAAATAATAGTGATATAATTAATATTATTGAAGAGAAAGAAGAATCAACAGACAAAGTATCTCTTACAAAGGGTTTATCAATATCCAGTCTTTCTGTTATTTTATTTGATGATGTAGATGTAATATTTGATGAGGATGAAGGATTTTGGAATGCAGTCAACGCATTTCTTCGTACTTCTAAAATACCAGTGATTTTAACTGCAAGTAACCATTTACATTCTGTTCAGTGTAATATAAATTTACCATATGAACTAGTTACGTTACAATTACCTACTGTGGAAAGTATGTCTAATCATGTAAGAAGTATTTGTCTGAAAGAAAATTTAGAGTTTGATTTGGAGAAAATTCAACAAATTATTGGTTATATCGGATGTGATATCAGAAAGTTATTTCTACAACTTCAGTATTGGTATTCTGCACATCTAAAATGTCTAAATCAATTTAAATCCGGCATTCAAATCGAGAATAACAAATACCAAAAGTTTGGCAAAATAATGGATGATAAAAGCATCATGTCAAATATTTTTGATGTTATATTGGGAATTAAGAATAAAAATGACAATTTTATTGATTTAAAAAAATATTTTTCTGACTTTGTAAACATTGTGCATTCAGCTTACCATCATAAGTTAAATTTCATACACACAAATCTTCCTCGGTTGTTAATTTTTCAATTGGAATGTGACGAGTTAAAGAATGAAAATCTCCCATTGGAGAAATCTGAAGAAACTTTCAATGGATCAAAGAAAACACTTGCAATAAGTTGTAAAAAAGAAATAAATGGAAATAAAAATTCAATGATAACGTCATATTTTCAAACAAAGAGAAAGAAAAATGAGACAGCTCAGTTGAAAATTGGTTTATTAGAAGCAATGGCAAACTTAATGGATAAAATTAGTCTGTCGGATGTTTTGATGCATCCTACAGAAAGACAATGTTTAAAGTTTGAAGACTGCCCCACTTACAGTACTATAACTGTAGATATGGTCACTCATCTCCAAGCTTTAAGTTTGAAACAGACCAGAAATAATCTTGAGAAAGTACTAAGTGATCTTCCAGATCAATCGAGAAAATTGTTTCCTTCACTGAATCACGAAGAGGCAAGCAACCATATTATGGTGAAATATGGCGCAGAATCCAAAATCCGACTAGAAGAAAATATTAAATGTTCAGAAGGTTTAAGGAACGCCATTCCATCCGTCACTCGTCTCCAAAGAACTGCCATCCGTACAGATTATTTGAGTTACGTGAGAAGTATATGCAAACTGGAAAAAGTAAGACAAGCTCAAAACTTAAAACGTTTGGGGAGATTTTTACATTACTTAGATTCTATTTCACTCTTATTAGATAAAGATACATATTACATACTCCATAAATAAGAATTTGTACATAGCATGTATCATAAGTTTACAAAAATATGTACTGTACATATATCTTTATTGGAGGAAAATGATTCATGAAATGATGATTTTCCTATAATGTTATAAAATTTTTTTATTATATAAAAGCTCAAAACAGTATTTCACATATTATCAAAAATACATATATGTTAACTTATATCATTAATCACGAAATTTTTTTATCTAATTTAATGTTTCTGTAGCACATAATTTTCATGTAGAAGACATTAAAATCTTTATCAAAGTTGATTTCACTTTATTCAATTAAATATTTTGTAATAGTTTTGTAGCACCAGATGGTGACACTGCTGACTTTTAAACATATAGTGCATCTTGTCGATTAAAATCAAGTAATCCACGTGTTGGCAGATCATGTTATTGATCAATAGTATCAAAGGAAGATGAAGTATCGTAATCATAAGCGCCGAAACCATGTTAATTTTATCCTTGAATATACAAATTGCCAGAAAATAGTTATCCTCCAGCAAGTTTTGCGATTGAATTTTATTAAAAAAACATTTGTTCAAAGCTTAATCATTGCAATTTGGGTTTGTTTATAAGTTCGGGTTTTACTTTATAATTTCAAATTATACATAAATCTGTACGATAGACATAAAATTAAATTTTAAAGAATTTTACGCTCCAATTCTGAGAGATATATGTAGGCGGTTCGTTTTTTCTAAGCGTGGTGCCTTATTAAGGACTCTGCAGATCATAAAATATTGACAAAATGATCTCGTGCTGACTTTTTAGCATATTTATCTGATTAAAAATGCGAGTTACCTTCGAGAAGATTAAAATTCTAAACAAAAATTCGTCACTGCATCCTCAACGCGCAATTTCTATGGCGTTAAGATAAACACACGACAAAAAAAAAAAATTCAATTGTATATAATATCCCATTGTGGTTTTAAGGTGATAAACTTCTTAATATTTAACTTTGATCATTCTGCATATCAGTCGAGAGCCTGATTAAGAATTAACATTCGTATTTTAGTGTTTATCTATAAAAATAATGTGTGGTTGCTTGATAAGCGGGATCTATATTAAAAACTTTATAAGCTTTAAATAGAGTTGATTAAAACAGTATTTCTGTTGAGTCTATGAGAAATTCGATCCAGCAAACAAAGTATGCATTGGATATTAATGACAGAATTACATTAATAAGCTTAATTGATAGCCAAGTCGGTTAAGGCGTCAGTCTGGGGAAGCCGGAATCGAATCCAGGCCAGCATCCATAGGAATTTTTCGTGGATGAAGCCTGATATATTCCTCACCGCCCATGTGGGTCTACTGAATTTACAATGGATATGATTAAAAAGGTCTTATTAGTGCCTACGGGGCATAAAAAATATTATAATTAAAATATAGTATACAACCTCAATAATAATCTTTAAACAGTTTTTCCACTGCGTAGTATCGTGTGAGAGAAATGATCAACTAAATTTCATAATTTTGTCTGTAATAGGAAAATAAGAGAAAACATGGTATTAAATGGCGTGTTTTGAGAAGTATATATTGATAATGTGTCTTATCGCTTCATTATATACAAGTAAGTACCTAAATATTAAGATATTGTTATGCGGATTTCCTAGCACTCGAATGCAATATATATAGCAATGTAAGCAAAATATTGTATCGATTTTTGCCACGTTACAGTATACATATACATTGTTGATTTAGCACGTCAACTAGTTTAATAAGAAGCACTGGCATGGGCGTATGGGAAGACACTCAGATTAATTAAGGGGTAAAGATTGATTTTCCCGAAATTTTATACAAATAAAAACACAAGTACCAATTTTAATTTGTCATCATTTATAATTTTGCTCTCTCTCTAATTAATTTTTGTTCTTGCTTTGTCCGAATTTGGGAGGTAGTTAAAACAGAAGGAGAAAGTATTTTATACATATTTGAGTTTCATATTTTGATTACAAACGAGTTTTTAAGTTACTTGATCGCCTAAATCGAGTAGATCGACTTGATTGCGGGAACGGGTCTAGACAGCTTTGCGTTTAGACCACTCTACCACCCTCTGTGCCATCTATTCCTCGCCTTTAAGCCAAATACTCGGTCGTGTTAAGTATTGACTCAGGCAGAGACGTGTCTAAACTGTAGCTGTACATTTAGAAATTATTCTTGCAAATGGCCACGTCAGGTTGTGTGTATTTCTCTAAGAGTTCATAATTCGATCTGTGACTAATTAAAATATCCACTTTAAATTAAACTAACTTAAAGAAAGTTTTAATTAACAAGAAAAAATGATTTTGATATAAAAAATCTGTCGTCCTGTAATGAGAATTGTTTTGAGTTTAAGAATTTCGATAACGGAAACGATTATTCATATTTTTTGCCTGTTTGCAACACGTTTTTTCATATATTGCAATTAAATTCTCCATTAATCCGTTGCATCTGAATTCACCACGAAGACTCTCATAGCATAGTTTTGGTTCTTTTAAATTTTTAAGCGTAATTAACGTGTTTAATAGCAAACAAAAAAAAAAGAAATTAACCCCGAAACTGTTGTAAACATCAATTAAAAATCAATTAGGTTTACTCCTAAATTTTTAAATTTACAAGAGAAATCGATGAGTTCTGCGGTAGCCATTTTTGTTTGGAAATTGTTATTCATTTAAATTTTTAAATTTACAAGTTTTGTCATCGGTAGATCAATTGCGAAAAAAAAAAAAATTCAAAAAAATATAATCTCGGAAAATTAATAAAAAACAAGAGAAATTAATCGTTTCATTATATTATTAAACTGCTTAATCTACATAAATTTCGACAGTTCGTGACGGAGATATAACCTTAGCCGAGGAGGAACGAGAGTGCGCTTGATAGGTGATTAGGAAGTAAGTGATGATGGACATCGATAGAAAAAAAATTACTACGGAATGATAATTTAATATCGTTACAGGATGTTATGGAAATGGATTTTGTTTTTGGAAGTGATTTTCGTTTCCAGAAGTGTCAAAAGCGATTGGTTCGACGATATCGATAGCGGAGGAGAATCTTTTTCCGGATGGGCAAGCGGAGATGGAAACGAAGCATTATCATCTCGAGAGCAGACAAATATCTCTAATTACTTGTCGGATGGAGAAAGTAGTGGAAATTATCCTTTGGCTGTTGGAATTTCTGAAGGCCATCGGAGTAATTCTTGTTTTTTTTTTTTTTTTTTTTTTTTCTTAAATGATCAACACAAAGAGTTTCGCTTTGATCTCTTCTTTCTTCCCCCTCTATTCGTTTTTTTTAGCTTTTGACGTGTCTTATTGGGAATCTGTATCAACTACGATAATAGAAGAGAAAATAGAAAGTGTGTTCGAAGCCCGGAAAATAGACGAGAGTCGTTATTTCTACTTCGATCAAACTGGTATGTACTGTATTTATTAATTAATAATACATGAGAAACTAATCCTTACGATTATTAAATCGCATAAGTTAAACTTGAATTAGTTGTTGAATGTCACATAATAGGTTAATTTATGTATGACAACGGTTAATTCCTTCGTTAATCTTTTACGTAATGATATCACGAAAGAGTTCTAACCTTGAGTTTGGAGTTCTCTCACAATTATTCGCAAAACTGTAAAGAATATTAGATTTTATTAATGTATAATATAAACATTTACAAGTAAGACACAGGTTTATAACAAAGCTGCTTTTTATACTTAATAATCTTTTTTTTTAAATAATTTTCTAAAACTTCATTTATACCATAAAAGTTTGCTATTGAAGAGGAGTATTCTAACGAATTTCTTTAATTTCAATAGGAATGTATAAACTATTTAACGTCACTCCGGCTGATGAAATCTGCGATAATCCTATACAAATAGAATTTCTCGACTTTGAAAATAGTACTTATTTTATTTGTTCTACTCGAGATTCTTTAATAATAGGAAAAATTAATGAGGTAAGTAATCATATTTTATTTTTTAAAATAATGATTTACTAATTACTAACACTTTTTTTTCTTCCCAGGGGATTGAAAAGCGACATCCTTTAGAAAATCTTGAAGACCCAAGATTCGCATGTTTAGAACAGAATGGCAACTTTTTGTTTTATATTGTCAGCAGAAGTAACTAATTCATTTTTTGAACTTTAGTCAAATTCCTTTGAAAAAAACTTAGAGTTTGTTGTTTTTTTTAATAGATATATGCAGATCTTTCAGCTATAACACCAAAACTAGAGAGATCGAAAACGATGAGGAATACTATGTTAAGGAAAATAAATATGCTAGTGCTGTAGCTATGTGGAAAACGTACTCTTATTTCTTATCTTCCTAAATGTTTTTAACCTTTTTTTAAAAAAAAAAATACTTTTTTTTTCATCAATAGAGAATCTGGTAATTACGGATCTGCGGTGGCTAATTATGCAGGCGAGAACAGCCTTAGTTTTAAAAGTGTAACAAACTTCTTCACTTGGAAAAGTACGTTCCCTCTTTCCCTCTTAAAAACAGACTACATTTCTAAAAATAACAAATCTTTGTCGAAATTTTAGGAAATTACTTTGATAGAGATCCTTACAATGTCACTTCTTACGACGTCAGCGATCTGGAGGTCTTTCGTATCCATAGCAGTCTATTTTTAGCTATAGCCAATTACAGAATTGCCGAAAATCGTTATCGTGTTGATTCCGAGATCTACAAATTCAACATCCATACTGAAAAATGGGAAAGTCGACAGAAAATAGAGACGACGGCGGCAAAAGACTTCGAATTCTTCACATTTGGAGAGGGTGATCATAGAGAATTCTTTTTAGCTGTAGCTAGTGAATTAGTTTATGGTTAGTCAATGATTTTATTTTCTAATGTAAAAAAAAATGTTTTTCCATTTAATATTTTTAAGGGAATTATACTTAGAATTCAGATATATTTATTTTTTTTTTTCAGTTAAAGGTCAAAAAAATTATAAAACGGACTCCATAATCTATAAATTTGTGAAGAGGAAATTCGTTCCTTTTCAGTGCATCGAGACTGTACGCGCCAGACATCTATCTTCGTTTAAAGGCTTAAAAGGCGAATTTCTTTTGGCTATAGCTACAATGGAAAGTATAAGCCTGTATCAATATAACGGATGGAAGTTTGTTAAAACTCTATCCTTTCAATACTCCCATGGGGAGTTGAATAATGGCATTTCTCATCTCTCTCTTCATACCCTAATATATCCAGACAAGTTACAACCTACTTTAAGTATGATTTTTTTTTTCATTTATTTACTTAAAAGAATTCGCGATGAGAAAAAAATAAGTGTGCTTTTTTTCCCATTTATTTTTAGGTTTAGCTAATATTCGTGGTGGTGGGAAGACATTCTCGTTGTGGTTTCGACACGAAAACCATATAAAAAGATGGTACGAAGAGAATTTAAAACGATGTAACGAAATGAAAGAAATTGCTTATAGTAAAAAAGTGGAATACGTGTTAAATAAATTTAAGCACGTTTATTTAGTCGATCAGGATGAACCGATAATTCTAAATAAAAACGTGACGTTAGAAAGTGAAATGGCAGCTACCACAGTCGTAACACAAACAGTAATAATCTCCTCCCCTTTGCTAAAACTTTTTATGATGGAAAAAGAAGCAAAACTTAATTTGAATGTTCATTTTCAGATAATCGAAAGATCAACTAATAAAATGATAACGGGACTCAAAAAAGATATAATAGATATAAAAGAGAGACTTCAAAGGATAAGTCATAAATTGGCTGATCTTCAAGATAACTTGAAGAAAATTTTGCTACTAAATGAGAAACAAACCGTAACAGGTTAGTTTGTAGACAGTTTGCTTTCTTATATATATATATATATAAATACCAAGAAGTTAATTTTTTCGTTTTTTTATTCTGAANTCTTATATATGTAAAGATTAAAAAGGCTTATAAAGTTTCCAGGCGTATAGTACTTTATTTCAAAGGTTAACCTTTATTTTAGCTAAACTGTCTTTGTCCTTCATTGAAACAAGAAAGTGCCTAATTTATCCTATATTTTCATTTTTTAATGCTCTTGTTTCGTAATGGCAGTGGTGAATTTTCGTACAGGCTTATGCCTATCCTTATTTATCAATCCATCCTTCCTCATAGAAAGCTATAGCTATGGCTTACCCAATGAGATATAATATACTACATAGAATGGCTGTAGTGACTCCATATTTAAAAAAAAATTGAATACACGTCCGCCATTTTCTTTTTAGTCAAGGTGCGTGCCATTTGTGTGTACAGGCAACGAGCTAGAATATCTAATTCGTTGCGTAAAGGTGTGTAAAGGAAAGGAAGAGCTTTAATGTGACGTCATGTTTAGCGAATTTGGTAAGCTCTGAGTGCTTGTCGGCCTATTCAAAATCTCAGCATCAATCCAGCGAGATGCTGCCGGAAGTGACGCAACTGCTGGCGTTTTCTACAGAACACAAACGCTGACTGCCGGGAATTTCGGGAAAGAAAAACAATAAAAATGGCGAATGATGTGGACTTCCACGTTAAGTTAAATGATTTTTGAACTTCTCTAATTAGAACAGATTAATAAAAAAATAAAAATTTCGAAAAGAGAAATAGAGATAAAGATATTTTAAAATCAATAGGTTTAAATAATTAAATCAATTTTAAGATTTAACAACTAAAAAACACTATGTGATGTCTCAGATAAAAATACTAGTACAGTATCTATATACAGTAGAGCGTCGTTTATCCGAAGGAATTCCTGTCGACAAATTTAAATTTTCGCCAGTGCTGTGGCGCTGTAATCTTTGGCTATGTCTTCGGCTACTCAAATATTTTACGTTTTTGATTCTAAATTAATATCTAAAGTATAATTTTTTATTGTTTTTATATTTTTCAATATATTTATTTTGTTTGTAC